TTTTTTTAAAAATGTCAGTGCGTTTTTTTTTTACGCTGCTAACATCATGCTGTGTTTGGAGATTCTTGAAATTAAGATTCTCAAACTATACTTGTACTGAAAATTATTCCGCCTTAAAGTACGGCAAGAATTTATCGATCGAATTTACTTGATCGAAAACATGAACTTAACATGAAATCTGCTACAGAATTTAGGAATACATATATTGATTCCATAAATCCTTCAGTCACATAATATTTTCTAGGAAAATCCTTGGCTTAAATAAATAAATTGTATTATTTAAAGTCTGGAATTTTCTCAGTTATTACAATCTACCCCCCTTAAGAATTTTCGTCCCGAAAAGTAGAACTTGGGGTACCTTTTCCTCATTTTCTCTTCGCGTTCTCAAGTAGCTTCCTCAATATTATGATTTCACTACAAGACTTTAACCCGAGGAATTACTTTATTCCTTAAGGTTTTCTCCTCGCGAGCTAGGATCTGGACTGCGTGCACTTTGACAGGTTCCTGGTGCAATACATGCAATGGATCAGTCGCATATTTCTTCAATCTCAACACGTGGAAGACGTTGTGTACCGTAGCTAATTCTAGCAGCAAGCTAGTCTGTACGCGACCTTACAGATCATCTCTAGGATCTCATTACTCCTTTCATCTGTGCCACCTTCAGGAGAACTTAGTCTCCTTCCTAAAACTCTATAAATATGCAGCGTTTATCCGCATAGCTCTTTTGGCGACTATGAGCTGTATCGAACTTCTTCATGATAAATCTCATATTCTCTGTGGTTCTACTGATAAAGTATATTATTTCTAAATGCTTCTCCCCAGGTTTATACTAATGAATTGGGGACCTGCATTTTCTTCTGTATAGAGCTTCGTAAGGTGTCATTCCTATTGACGTGTGATAGCTGTTGTTATAGGAAAACTATATCAAAGGTAACTTCCTATCCCAGTTCCCTTTAAAATCCATGACACATGCTCTCCGCATATCTTCTAGGGTCTGAATGGTCTTATCAGGTTCGCCATTTGTCTACGGTCGAAAGCTGTACTAAACTTTAACTTGACCCTATTGCTCTTGCATACT